ACATTATAGCTTTCTTGTGTCAGATATCCTTTGAGAAGATTGCCGTTTTCTATCAGAACAACTTTTTAGGTACTACCTCATTTAGATTTTCTTCAAGTAAAAATTCTTTATATGTACTGTTTTTTTTTTTTTTTTAAAGGATTTATCACTTTGGCACTTAATCTGCTGGGCTAGTTTTGGCTATTTGAGTTATTTTGGAAATTTTATAACTTGTAAATGCTGTTTTGAGCTATTAAATATAAAAAGAGTGAATGGTTAGCACAAACTGCAAATTCCTGAATGAGTCATTTGGATCATTCCTATGTATGTGGAAAAATTGCATAACTAGTGAGTGCTGGGTTTTCTATTTATGCTATATTATGCCACTTTTTTTTTTCTTTTTTTAATCCATCTCTCTCTTTTTTTTTTTTTTTTTTTTTTTTTAGAGCAGTGTAGAGCAAGCAGTAAAATAAGCTCATGGTAAAGTACTTTGAGAGTTAAAAGGAAAGTGCTTTGAAATTAAGCATCTTGGCTAATATTATATTTTATATCTAGACTTCTAGAAAGACTTAGAAAGACACCTTACTTACCTGCTTTTTCACTTGCACTGTTCTCTTAATATTTGTGTTAATTCAAAATACTACAAGTTAATGAAATTTTATTTTTTTAAAGAATTATTTGTTATTTAACTTTTTTTTTATTTATTTAATTTGACCAGAAAGAGAGAGAGAAAGGAAACTGCCAGATCTGGGACTCAAACCGTGCTTAGCTATGTGTGGGTCCAACACCCTTTACCATGCCACTTGCCAGCGCCCAAATTTGATTTTTTATTTAAATTATAATTTATAATTCTAGGCTTGAAGGCCACAGGAGTTTTTGGTTTGTGAATGTATTTCTACTTCACTAAACAGGAAAGTAGGTTTAATTTTCTCCATTTGAAAACATAAGTGCAAGGGAACACTGTGGTGTCACTAACTGGTGGACACCGTTAAAGGGACTAAACTTTGTCTAAGGGTACTGTTCTTATATTGATATAAATTTTGTGAAAAGGGCTTGTCATGAAACAGTCACAACATAATTATTTTAATTTTAGAGAAAAATACATAGAATATGTACATACCTGAATAAAAAAGGCAGAAAGCGTATATACTAACATATTTATGCTGTCTGTTTCTGGCTTTGGGGAATACAAATTATTGTTTGTTTATTTATTTATCTTTGAGAGATTTTTGCTATAGGGTGCATGCTCACTGGAGAGACAGAGACAGAAAGCAAGAAATGACCGCCGGGGGGAAGACCACAACACAATCTCATTTTCTCTTGGGATCATGGACACACGCACACACTGGCGCCCAACCTGAGTTTTAAGTCACTGGGTCTGGTACTTGAACCATGGTCAGCTACATGAGAGTCCATCAGCGTAACCATTAAACCATTTGCTGCTCCTTTATTTATCTATTTTTGTTGCTTAGTTATCTTTCTAGTAATCAAGTATATCTTTTCTAAAAGGGAAGAATTTAATCTCTTAAATATGATCTTTTCGAGGTAGGGGCTTGTTCATAATTATAATAAGGTTTCCATAAACAATGACAATTTTTTTTTTTTTTGGAGAGATTTTCACTGTAGGGCGCATGTGCTCGCCAGACAGACAGAGAGAGACATAGAGACAGAAAGCGAGAAATCACCCCCCAGGGGGGATGGTCACGCCGCAATCCCTTCTCCTCCATTCTCCTCTCGGGATCTTGGGCACGCACGCACACGCGCCCGGCGTGAGTTTTAAGCCACCGGGTCCGGGACACGAACCGCGGTCGACTACGTGGGAGTCCAGCGACATAGCCATTATGCTAACTGCTGGTTCCCAACAATGACAAATTTTATACAGCTAAGTTTTAAAGTCTAATTTATGTAACTAGAATTCATTCCCATATTTAGTGATACTTTTTATAAAGAAGCAGAGAAATCTATGACAGTCCATGCACTTAACCCCCCTCCCCCCATTTTGGGCCACTTGCGCAGTCTAATAAACTGAAATTGCCTTATATAACTGATCTCGGTAATTCTGTTTTCCTGGGCTGCTTTCATTGTGTTCAGGAACAGCAGATTGGGACCCTCCCTTTAATCTCAGTTTTGTGACATGGGCACATCATAGTTCAGATGATATCTGGTTACTCCCAGGTGATTCTGTGGTTTAAAGAAAAACAAATTTTTCCAAAGCCTTCAGAATAGTAGATAGCTAATATTGAGTGCTTACTTAGAACTGCTTTTCTTTTTTTCTTTCTTTTTAAAATTCTGTCAAAGGGTGTGCACTTGCAATACAGAGTGAGTTGGGGGCCTAGTCACACTTAAGGCCTTTTCCCCCATTTCTTCATCCAAAGGTCCTGCACATGCATATCTGTCTAGTAAGCCACTGAGGTTGGTATTTGAACCCCATTCAGCCATGTGGGATCCTGCTTCCTCTGTATCACTTAGTCCTTGTGCTGTGGAACCTACTGTAGCAGTGCCTTTATATATATAAACACCTTTTATTTAGAAGTGCTTTTTAAAATTATTATTTAATTTTATTTAGTAATTCATATATTTTAATTTGTCCAGAGCAAGAGAGAAAGGGGGAAAGTGAAAAGGCAAGCTGCCAGGTCTGGGACTCAAACCATGGTCAGCCATGTGGGAATGTCCAGCACCTTAACCATCACACCACCTGCTGGTCCCCTGGAAGTGCTTTTTAAAGACTTTCATGCACTACTTCATGCGTATTAGCTTATTTATTAGGCTTTATAGTCTTTAAGATATGTGGTTATGGAAGAAGCTTAAAGATGAGGAAATGAGTGTGTTCAGATGAAGTAATTTGTCTAAGACTAAGTGGCAAATGGGAGAGTTCACATTCTTAACCATTAATTTATATATTTAAAGAATTATATTTGGGACTAGCTGGACTCCCATGTAGTCGACCACGGTTTGAGTCCCGAACCTGGTGGCTTAAAACTCACACTGGGCGTGTGTGCATGCGTGCCCAGGATCCCAAGAGGAGAATGGAGGAGAAGGGACTGTGGCGTGGCCTTCTTCCCTGGGGGGTGATTTCTTGCTTTCTGTCTCTCTGTCTTTGTCTTTTTGGCGAGAGCATGGACCTTATGGCAAGAAAACTCTAAAAAAAAATTATGTTTATTTAACTTTATTTATTTAATTTATTTATTTTAATTTGACCATAGAGGGACAGTGAGAGCGAGAGAGAAAGCAAGAGCAAGAGAACAAGCCAACAGGTCTGGAACTCAAATCATGGCTGGCCGTGTGGGAATCCAGTTCTCCTAAACACCACGCCACCTGCTGGCCCCCTTAACCATGATATTAATTGACTGTCAGTTTAACAACTTATTTAATTCCTTCGGTAACTTGATTTCTACTATCCCTTTTTCCTTTCTGCTTGTCATGTATATGCAAAGATGAAAATAATCTGTTTCCTGCTTTTGACTTTATTACATATCATTGAAAATCATGTTTTTCACATGTAGGATAGAACAGACTCTGGAATCTGTTGTGAATTTCAGTGCTAGCTGTGTGACCTTAGGCCAATTAATCTTATTTGTAAAGTGGCAATAAAAGTGGTACCTACTATTATAAAGCTGTAAGGATTAAATGAGAACATTTACAAAGGACACAGTGACTACCATGTGTAAGTATTCAGTGTTAACTTTGTCAGCATTGACGGTAGTAACAAATATGGAACTCAGAGCAGAATCAGATTCAATATGCCTATTTTTGTGACATGACATATTTAATTGCTACCTTTTTTACTTAAAAAGAAAAGTTTGCCTAACCGGATTTCTTCCAATTCTAGACTTAAGGTTTATTTTGTATCAATTATTTGGCCAAATATATTTTTCATCAAATAGTTACTTTGAAATATAAGGCGGGGGGTGGGGTGGGGCAGTAGTTGGCGGAATGGTTGTCGCTGGGCTCTCATGTGGTTGACTGGGGTTTAAGTCCCGGACCTGGTGGCTTAAACGCACACCAGGCGCATGTGCATGTTGTGTCCAAAATCCCGAGAAGAAAATGGAGGATTAGAGATTGCGGCGTGGCCATCTCCCCTAGGGGGCGATTTCTCGCTTTCTGTCTCTGTCTTTCTGGCTAGCACACGTGCCCTATAGCAAAAACCTCTCCAAAAAAAAAGTTCAAAAAAAAAAACAGAAAAGAAAAGAAAAATATAAACCAGGGTTTATTTTTCATAAAGCATCTCCCATGAAAACTTAGGGATTTTTAAATAGTGAATTATGTACATTAATTCTATTCTGAAAAGTGTTTGGGGGATTTTTTTCCTTCATATTTGTTGTATGTTTTGTGCAAACTTTGGTTTTGAGTCACTGTTAATTGCTTTATCTGTGTGTCACATACATGGCTTGATTTTCCTGTTTTTTAGTTAATTTTCCCCCAAGAGTTGAAATATAACTAATCTTAACATTTAAAGAGGATTATTATTGGACTAGCACAACAGATAAAGGAATACTTCAGGGGGCCAGCGGGTGGCATGGTGGCTAAGGCACTCTACTACCACATGGCAGACTACAGTTTGAATCTCAGATAAGATGGTTTGCTTTCTTTCTCTGGTGAGCACGTTTGCTATAGCAAATGAAAAATAATAGTGATAAATTAACTCTTTAAAAAAGGAAAAAGGAATGCTTCAGGGCAGATGTCTGAGATATGATATTTAAGCTGAGTTTATATGTTCAAGTTGAAATATTCTTGGAATAAAAGGGTTGAGTTGATCATTAGATGATAGTATTTTTTACTTCTTTTTTTTTCCTTCCTTCCTTTTCTCCTTCCTTCCTTCCTTCAGTTTGACTGGAGAGGGACAGAAGGAGAGAGGGAAAGTGAAAAAGTGAGCTGCTAGATCAAGGACTTGAACCATGGTCAGCCATGTGGGAGTCCATTGCCCTTAACCACCGTACCACCTGCCAGCACCAGGTGGTAGTATTATAATAAATAAACTCTTATCTTGACAAGAGAACTTAAATGTGTGCTTGTGTTCTTAGGTGACCGAGTTATTGACGTAGGATCTGAATGGAGAACTTTCAGCAATGACAAAGCAACAAAAGATCCATCTCGTGTTGGAGATTCTCAGAATCCTCTTCTGAGTGATGGAGATTTGTCTACCATGATTGGCAAGGTAATGAGTCCA